CAGGCACTGCAACATGGTGCTGGAGAACGTGAAGGAGATGTGGACCGAGGTCCCCAAGAGCGGCAAGGGCAAGAAGAAGTCCAAGCCCGTCAACAAGGGCCGCTACATCTCCAAAATGTTCCTGCGAGGTGACTCCGTCATCGTGGTTCTGCGGAACCCACTTATCGCTGGCAAATAGGGCCGCACCGGCACGCCGGGAAGCCCTGCCCCGCGTCTCCAGAAGAATAAATGCCCAGCGTTTGACCAGTGCCTGTTGGGGGCCTTGAAAGTGGGGGCACGGGGCACCCGGGGCTCTGGGACAAGGACCTCTGAACCTCCTCCCCTGGCGTGCCAAGAGGCCCGTCTACGAGGGTGGGGGTGGGCAGAAATAACCTGCCCATTCGGATGCCAGAGGAGCGGCTGGCTCTGCTGGCTTCTCCTGACGTGTCTCTGCTTCAGCTGGGCATCCCTTCCGTTCTCTTCACCACCACCAAACATCTCCCAGCAGCCGCCTCTGTTCCTGGGCCTGCCCTCCTTCCTTCCCCCCATGCACAGAGCTCTGCAGGGGGTGGGCTAGGCGGCTGTACCCCTGAAAGCAAGCACAAGTGACCGCCAAGCTGTGAGCACAGTTCTCTCTGGGACCACCCAACAGCTGAGGGAGGTGCCAAGGGTTCTAGGTCCCTTCTCCAGAGGGGAGACTGAAGCACGGGGAGGGGTGCGCCTTCCAGAGGGCCCCCAGTCGTGATGCAGATTCCCTGTGCACCCCCCACCCCCAGCCTGGGAAGAGCCCTCTTCACCCTTCAGATAACTTTGTTACCAGAGAGGCTGAGACTGCTGGGTGAGGTGAGGGGCGAAGTCCTCCATTTGGGGTGCAGGCAGGTCCCTTGTCAGGCCCAGCCACATCCTGTTGGCTTTCTCTAGACAGGGCCAAGAGGACACAGTGGGGGGCCACGGGGCCAGGCAGAGCTGCAATTGGCAGGCACCCCTCCGTGGCAGCAGCCCAACAGTGGGAGGACAGGAAGCCTCATGGCCTTGCAGGACAGAGCAGGCCTGCTTCGGGGCTTCCAAAGCTGTCATTTTCCTGAACACCAACTGCTTCCTGGCCATAAACCGCCAGCCTTTCTGATTTTTGCCGAGGGTTTCCGAACTGCACCACCCAGAAAGGCACTGTTTTCTAAGCGACCCCTGAGCGGGTGGTTAAGCACACTGTAGCCAAAAGAAAGGGAATGATTTGGGTCCCCCAGAGGCCCCGTAAGAGATGAGCCTGGGGCCTGCCTCCCAAGGTCATCTGTAGCCATCAACTTCATGCCTGACCACCAAGCACCCGCCTGCCATCAGAGTGATTGTCCTGGGGGTGGGAGAGCCAGGGGCTTGCCCAGTTGGGGAACAGTGAAACTGCGTTCAAACCCAGGGAGCCGAATGGACCCTCAGTGCCCTTGTCTGTGAAATGGGGAGGTAGCTCTTGCTAGGTAGGAGGGGGCCCAGCACAGGCCTGGAGGCCTCCAGCCCTGGCTTTGAGTCCCACCTCCCTCGGGGGTGGGCTTGCCCTGACCTGGACACAGGTACAGGTTCACAGGCTAGCAGCAGATGCAGGTAGGTGACACAGTGCCCCCACCCCAATCGTCTCTGAGTGGGTCTAACTGCCAGTGGTGCAGGACTGGCACTGGGCAAAGTTGTCCAAGGCAGCTGGTGTCAGTGGTGGGATTCTCCCCCTTCCACACAGAGGCCCAGGCTACATTCCCAACCAGGCCATTCCCGCCCATGCTGTGAAACAGGTGTCGGTGACACCAAGGAAGGCTGACCAGGAAGAAAGACCTGGCAGTTTATGAAAGACACCCCCCCCCGCCCAGATCATGGCAGTACAATTGACACCCCATCATGGGATGGCCCGGACTTGGGCAGTCCCCGTGAGCCAGGCCAACTGGATGGTAGCTCATAGCAGCTCAAGTGCATCTCAGGCTAGCCTGGGACATAGCGACCTTGATCCGCTCATCTGCAGGTAGAAACAGGCCCAGAGAGGCTGAGCAGCTTCTCCCCATCACACAGCTGGTTTGTAGCCAAACCAAGATTGGATCTGCAAATCCTGCTGGACCCTGAGGAGACAACGTGTGCACGGTGCAGGCACACGTGTCGCCGCTGAACAGCCGCAGTACCCTCTGGCCAGGGCAAGGGCTGTGATTTGGGGCCCTCCTCACTTGACCCTCCTCTTCAGACCTCTCAAGCTTTGTGCCTCCTCGGTGCTCACCAGAGAGCTGAGAGGGATTCACCTTTGTGTTTGGCCCACGGCCGCCATCACTAACAATGTTTATCCGAGATAACACCTTTTTTCATCTAGCCCAGGACCTTTCCACACAGCCCGTTCTTTGACCAGCTTGGAAGAGTTTTACCTTTGTCCTTGAGAGCGGTCAGCATCCGGTGCGAGGTGCCCCTGCAGCCAGTGGTGCATCCACCCTTTTGTACCTTCAGCGTGGTTCATAGCTGTTTCACTTCTAAAATCGGTACTTGCCCCAGGCCCCTCACTGCTGCTCTCCCTGGCCCTGGTTTGACTGTGGTAAGGGGAGCCGGGGTGATCATTTCCAGAGGGAAAGTGGCAGCACCCAAGAGACATGCGACGCAGGAGGTTAAGTGCTGCGTCCTGGGAATCGGCAAGGCACTGGGACACAAGAAGCACTTCGTGTAGAAAAGTACAATCGTGCACGTCAGCCACATCACAGGTGTTCCCTGTGACTCGCTCACAACTCACCACCAGCCAGTTGATTCGGACTCATCGTGACCAAACCAGACGGTGGAAGTGCTCTGGTGGGGGTTTCTGAGACTAACTACAGAAATAGAAAACCTCGCCTTTCTCCCACGGAGCGGCTGCTGGTGGGTTTGAACTGCTGATTTCGCGGTTAGCAGCCCAACACGTAACCACTGTGCCTCCAGAGCTCCTCTTATAGGACTGTCGAGGTCCCAGTATGCACTTGGCAGTACGATTCCTTTCTAAAGAGTCACGAGAGGCTTATGCTATGCGCAAGAAGCGGTGGGGTGTGCTGTGTCCTGTTTGCCACCCAGGGTTTCTCACCTCTTCTCGGAACACCCTGTAGTGTGCTTGTATGTTGCCCAGGTTTGTATTATACGGAGCATACTTTATATTAATACCTGAGCATCAGATTACAAGTAACATTCCCAATGGGAACAGCTAGGGAATGAGAACAGAGGCAGCCCAGGTGGGGGGTGGGAGGGTGGATGGGAATCTGTCCATTCGGACACCAGAAAGAGGGTTGACTGGCTTCTGGCTCAGCCCACCTTCCCTGCTTCAGCCAGTGTTTTCCTGTCTCTTCATCACACGTCTCCCAGCAGCCACCTCTGTTCCTGGCCCTGCCCTCCCTCCTCTCATGCACAGAGCTCGGCAGGGGTGGGTGACTGCATCCCTGAAGGCAAGCACTGGCCAAGCCGTGAGCACAGTTCTCTCTGGGTCCTCCCAGCAGTTGAGGGAGGTGCTGTCAGTTCTAGGTCCCTCCTCCACAGGGGGAGACGGAAGCACAGGGCGGACAGGCAATGCAAGTGTCCAGCAGGGCCGCCCTGTGGAAGTGGAGCGACCATCCTAGTGGCCACAGACCCCACCCAGCCCATCTCCCAGTGGACCCTCCCAACCCACACCACACATCATTGTTTCTCATGCTTTATTTACAAAGGCCCAGGGTCACTGCCCTGTTTGGACCCACATAGGAGGCCCAGCTAGATGGTCATGGCCCCTGAGAGGCTCTGAGTTCAAGCTGCTGGGGGGTGGGGGTGGGGTGAGGGGAGCCCCAGGGGAAACGATGTTCACCTGGGTTCTAAAGAAATCTAAGTTGG